ATGATTCTGTGATTCTACAACCTACAATGAGAAACCAGAATGGGATAATGACATTGAAATAATTACTGTGTCTCATTTACCACCATTCTGGGACTTTCTTCTGAGAAAGGAACCTTCCTGATTGCTTGTTAAACCAGCTTTTAGGCAACCCTCACATTCTGAAGTGGCTCAGACAGGTGAGATTATGAGAAAAATCACATTCTTGCTATGTCCAAATATCTAGGGTTGACTTCCCCTGCCAAGTTTATGGTCAATTTCTAACAAAAGCACAGGATATAAGAATGCTTTTCCCTACCAAAAGGAAAAATAACTAAAAAAAAAAATATATTTTTTTTTCCCATACTCAGCACAACAGTCCTCTCTCTTTTAGCAAGATGTTAAATCAGCAGAGATTGTAAGCAGCATTCCTAAGGGAGTTTGACACCACAATGAAACGTGCTGAATGAAAAAGGGATACTGCCCAGCACACAGCGAGCATGAACACCTCCCTGCTGCAAGTGAATCAAATGACTGGAGTAACAACACATAAAAGTAACCAGCCAGGTTTGAACATTAAGCTCTGGTCTTAACTCAAGCATGCTCTTACACACATCTGCTCTCACTGCTAACATGTCCTGTCATTAATGATAAAATGGACCCCATGTAAATCATGGTTTAAATATTGCTTAGCAGCATTTCACAGAGAATTCTTATGGCAGCAGAAGTTAGCCATTGCATCTGGCCACTCCAGAGTGAAAAAGAAATATTTGCTCAGACTTCAGAGGGTCATTTTGGTATAAGAGGGAGATAAAAGCATGAATCTCTTACAATATGAGCTAGCAAATCAAAGCAAATAGGGATTCCACTCACTGATAATTCAACAGAAAAGAATCAGTTATAAAACACATGCAGCACTGTTTGTTCTAGGCAATGTGGTTATATCTCATGCCGACAGATTATATGCTGGGAATTAAAATATAGATTACCTACTAAAATTTTTAAAGAAAACCTAAAGTACCCAGTGGTAACTGCAGTGCTATGGGCACTGTGCTAAGCAGCACAATTTATTTTTATTATTTTAATTTTATTTTGAAGTGTCTGAATTCATTTCAGTCATTCAGAAAGATTTACCTGTTCTTGTTTCCACTTAATAATTTATTCTGGAAATTATTAAAAAGCACTATATTTGTTTGCTTAATTCCTTCATCTGTAGTGTTTAACAAGCAATCAGGAAGGTTCCTTTCTCAGAAGAAAGTCCCAGAATGGTGGTAAATGAGACACAGTAATTAGAGGCTTGGTTAATTAATTTTGCTACTTCAGATAATGTCAAAGTTTAAAAAGGTGCCTAAATTAAACAATTATACAAACACAAGGAAAGAACCTCTTGGTAGCTGATGCTCAGCTACAACTAGCATGGATTTCCCACCACTTTAAAACATAAATGGAACCAAAGACCCAATGAAATGAAATGGTGAAAAGAAGACAATATGGAATGAACTGATTAGATAGAAAGAAAACAGTGAGAAGTCCTAAGGAGATGCATGGTATTGCTACAGTCTAGATTCCTATTTCACTTTTACAACAGAATAGACCACAGCGATCATTAAACAAACCATTGAAGAGCCAAGCCTTATCTCAAACATCACACTGTGTACTGCATTCTTCAACCTGTTCTAGTTAATTTCATAGGTGAAATCCATAATAGCTAATTGCACAGATTGCTAGGCTTGAATCTGAATCTTCTGATTTTAAAACTTCTCATATAGAAGTTAAAGTGCAGTCAGTCTGCCATGCACCTCTCTCTTACTCTGCGTTTCTGCGTGCACCTGCCTGCTGCAAACCTGCTTTTTTTCCCAAGACATTTCCACCACTTTCCTGTTTGGATATCAGATCTCAAAGTGATTTTATCGTCCTTTTTGTTTCCTCAAAGTATTAGTGACAAATGATGAAACTGGTAATCTTCCCACAACAACAGATTTCCCATTTCTAATCCCACAGAAATAAGGCTACGTTCAATAGAATATTTAGTTCAAAACAGATTTAAAATACAGACAGAAGTATGTCCTGCAAAAAGACCCACACCATGTTTATTATTAGATACAAAAACAGTTGTATTAAATTCAGTGAGAACATGCACCTACATTTACAAAAAGAGAAAAAAATTTTGCATAAAATAGTAGAGCACTGAAATTCAATTTACAGGGGACTTTAGACTGAGAAGCCTCAAGCCCTTTGTTTTAAGGGCTGAAAAATGGCATTTTCTTTTCATAACCTAAATGCAAGCGAGGAGCCTTTATCTTTAAGCTACAACAATGCCAAATGTTTGCCCATCAGTAACACAGTAGGTATCTCACACTTTTGCCAGATTTGCACTACCTGTCAAGAGGAATTATTTTTCATACTGTCTACAAAAAGACACTTTCCACTTGTATGTCTCCACTTAACTGTGTAATATTTACTCCTGTTTCAAAAATTAATGTGCTTTCTGGAGTTACCTTTCTATAGTTTATGGATAAGCTAATTCATACATTGCCATAAACACATAACTGATCAGGAATGAATCCCAAATACAGGCACCCTTAGTTCAAGTGTTCAATATCATGCTTCCACTTCTAAAACTGTCTTCATGTGCTTCTCATAAAGCATGAATTGCTTTGAAGACATGAAACTAGAGATACTTGCACTTAATTTGACTTTTCCATACTAATTCGTTTTCATAGCTCATGCTGTGTTTTTCTTAAGTACTTGGGTTTAGACTTGCATATGGCTGCATATTTCTTCAACAATAATTCTGGGGTGATCACACATATATAGTGTGCCATCATATATTGATGGCTTTAAGGAAAGGATATGCTTCACAACTGGGGACAAAGGAATAAAATAATTCATCCTAGATTCCCTCAGGCACAGCAACTTTCAAGCCTGAATTAAAAACACAAACATGGATCTGAAATGACTAACCACTTTTATTATACAGAAAATTAATATCTCTGTGTGCAAAGCCACATTGCAGCAGTGCTAAATTAGATTCTTAATTCTATACCCACATGCCTTAGAGGTCCTACTAACATGTAACCAGCTTATAAATATTTTACCTAGGACTTCTAAACGAAGAATGAAGAACAAGTGTTTGTCTAAGTAATTAATGTAAAGTGACTGGTCTTCAGCATCCAGCAACATGGGTACCCAGGGAAAAGCTGAAAGCAGTTTGCTTTTCAACTGCCTCAAATGCAAGCAGAACGCACAACCCAACAGTAAAGCAATCATTAAAATAATTTGCATTTCAAAACATTTGGCAATATCTGTTATCTGAATGTCAATACTCTAACTGACATTAGTAAACACAAAGTTTTCACTATTTTTTTCCCCCAAACCCTTACATCTGTAGGCTGATCTGGCATTGCTTCAGGCCTTTTAAGAAAATGCATGCAAAGTAAATGCACTTGTAATGGAACAGTTGTCAGCGTCTACAACACTTGGGCACCCATGCTTCAATGGGACACATTTCAATTAATGTTATCCAGTTTTGCATTTAATCCAATGTATCCAGTTTTGAATCTAAAACCAAAGTCTTAAAAGAAACAACGACTTCCATTTTATTCCACCCTAGCAAAGACTCGATTCAAGCTATATTTGGGGAACATGATTTGTACCATCCCATCACTCAAAAAACCAAAACAAATCTAGGATGTTACACAAAGTGATGGAGCACCTTATTATTTGAAATGTATCAATGACAGTGACAATGAGAAATAACTAAATAATTCCCAAGTAGAAAAAGATTAGAACTTTTAGTACCCAAGTGTATTTCTTTTACAGAAAGTCTGCAACATTGTGGTAAAGTTTAAAAAAAGCTATGCAAAGGAAACTTCTAGATCTGGTTTTGCTTCTCTGTTGTTCCTGTCTAAGGCTTGAGGAAATTTATTACTTCCTTCTCCTGCTTGTACCACTAAAAAATCTGCAGGAATACAAGTCTCCTAAATCCTCCACCTACAAAAATATGTACACCTAGGTGATACGGCTAAAAATGCAAGTCCTTGCATTTGGGGGCAGGGAAGACTCCTCTCAAATCTACTTTTAGAAAAATGCTGTTCTAAAGTGGCTATAAAAAGTATGTTTATGCTTTTCTCCTATTTATATTGTATAGGAACAAGGAAAATTGGAATAGTAAAACTCACAGCAGGCATTTCTGTATGTTTTGTACCTCAGAAATAAAGTATGCCAAGAATTTTCATCCGTGGTTTCACTGCATAAATCCTCACTTATTTAGGAATAGAGGGGAAAAAATTCTCATTCTTCTGCTAGAGGACATATTGTCACACAACTACTACAATAAATAATAAGCATTTGTCAGAAATTTAAATTGAACAATGACAGAAGATTTTTTTTTTTTAAGGCATTTGAATAAAAATCTTTTGCAATTCTCAATTTTTTAAATAATCTGAGAATCTGGAGATAACATTATAGCAAAAAAAACGTGGAAAATCTTCTTTTAAAAGAAAAAAACAAAAGCAAAATAAAAATACAAGCTTCTTTCAGACAATTTTTATATACCACCATGCAGTGATAAAGATGAAAACAGATCTGTACTTGTCAGGCAGATCATAATTTCTTAAGAGAAGGTGATGCTGAAACAGAAAGGTTGGTATTTCATGGAAGTAGTATTTCAAAATCTGCTCTTTACAGCTATTCCACTGGAAAATGGTGGAGGGAATTACAAAATTCTCAACAGGCAAGTACTCGCACATTGTCTCAAGGTCAAAATTTTGAGGCCATCACCACCAGCTGCCCACAGACATTAGCTAAAATCTAAAGCCTTGCATCACAGCCAAGTGAACTTTCTTCAGGTCAACATGAAGATTTACTGGCACTCAGAACAGTCTACACCAACTTCAAGGTAAAAAGAGTTTGACATAAATATCTGAGATAGCCCTATCAGCTCCATATTTCAGCTCCTCCCACCTGAATTGGCTTTCCTTGTCTAAGTCCAAATAATGCACAATTCAATAGCCTTGACTTACTGTGAGATGTGAGTTATTGGGGTCAACAGTGTCTCACCCTCCAGGTCAAGCTCATCGGCAAAGCTGTTGGTCCTGATGAAGGGTCCTGTGTTCACATCTAAAAACGTTGGGCTTTTTTTCACTGTGAGGAAACATGCAGATAGCAGTTAAAGCAAAAGCATTCAGCTTTTTTGAAGGTCTACCACTCTTTATGAACTCAGAAATACTCTACATTTTAACAGAGTATTAAAAACAGAAGTTACTACCAAAAAATTACATATACTATGGTGTTTGTGAAAAGTAAAACTTTAACTCTGGTTCTATCTTAAGAATTTCAACTTTTTTTCTTTTATTTTGTTCATACTCCTCATACACTAAAGTGTAGAGTGTCTATATCACAGTTTCATGCATGATAAAACTTACTGTACAATACTCAGCCATACCATGGACCATTGCTCTACAGCAAAAGTGTACGTATGCAATTTGATGTCAAGATCCATTCCTTCTTATATCATCTTACTTTTTGTTTTGGTTTATGATACCACTTTCTGGGGTGTAATTACCATGACTAAGATCACAAACCCAAGCCTAGATAAAAAAACAAGCCCATGTATTTTCATGGTGAGAACTCAGCTCCTGTCACACATTGTCCGAGCTAGTTTACTGGTTCCCAATCTCTTTCAAACTTAGGCACAAGGATGTCTCATCTTTGAGCTCAGACATGAGACAGGTGGAAAGATGTTCATTTCATCCAAGATGGGGTTCTTAGGGGGAAGACTATTTCACAAAACTTCCAGTATTGGAAGTTTTTAATGGCAAAGCTACTTGTTAACCAATACTTTCATGCAACCAAGAAACCAGGCAGTGCACTATACATTTAATTTTTAAGCTCAGGCTCCTAAATTCTGTCAGACTGTAACATTAAGAGCCCTCAGTGCTCTTTCCAGCATGGTCCTAACAACATTTGTTAGAGAACTCATAAAGCTTGCATATAAATAAAACCACTACTGTATTTCTACTTGATTGTCAAGGAATTTGATAGAGAATGAAAACAAGTAAAATTCTGCAAAAATCATAGATAGATTGTGACACCCCTGTAGAACACTTTATCTGGGCAAATGGTCAATCAATGAAATAAATATAATGTTGCAACTTATCTAGGCTATATTGTATTAAACAAAATACTTTGTAATATAACAGTAAATAATGTCCTGCCAAAATGCAGAATGGAAGCTACAGGAATACAGCAGAAATAGCTAACTTAAATATAGCTGAATTTAATGTGAAATGAAGATATCAGGAAACATTTTTTTTAAATGCAATCATTTTACTCAAGGAGGTAGATATATTAATAGAAATAGGTTTGAACTTCTACAAATGTTCAGAAGAGAAAATGTTATTGTATCATCAGGCACATGGCCATTCAAAATTACAACAGAAAAGTCTGCTCTCCTGGAATTTTAATAGGAGAGGAAGACCTCTGAAATCACTGTAAAAAACCCATAAAATTAAAAATGTAGCACTTAAACTTGAACATTCTAAAGTTTTAGCAAATGTTAGCTTCCTATTTTTGGTTTTAGTAGGTTATTTAATCAATTTGCTGTAGTCATCCAAGACAGTGGCTGTGGAACAAGCAGAACCATTCAATTCAAATATACAGCAAAATATCCTTCAAAAAGGCTCCTTTTGGCTTTTATTAAATTAATTTTCACAGTTTTCATGCCTACAAGACACAAACAAAACTTTCCTGGTCTCTAGAGAAGGAGGGCTCTCAGCCTTTTCAGTATCACTGGTGACAAGTGATAAAACTGCAGAACCTAAAACCATGTAAAGTGTTTGCTGAACATTCATTAAACTGTGCTTGTGGAAGCTACAATCCCACACAGTGCAGAGGTAGATGTACAGAAGCAGCTACTCTTGCATCATTCACAATTACTGTTTTCCAGTTTCAGGGGAGTGAAGGAGTGGCACAATGAAAAAGGAACAAGACTGTCCGGAGCCTATCTGAAACTGCTGTTATGTGAGAAAACAGAGATGAAGAGCTTCTTAACATGAGGCAAACATGGTATCCCCCTCCCTTCTTGCATTTTCAGATTTTCATAGCTGATCATAACCAAGATCAGTCTGTTCTGGTGACCAGTGCAGCCCTCTGTGCTTTATGTTGCCATTCTTAAATGTGTATTGCTGCTACCAACATAAAGAAGCAGCCACTCCAAAACACTACCATGTTTTGGTAGAGAGAGAGAGGGGACCAAGGAGACAACATTTTGTTACTGGGAGTTTTTGTGCCACAAAATGTCTTGAAACAAGACCCAGGCAGAGCACCAGGAAGCAGATGTGGCCACAGCACATTTTGTGTTTATAGAAATAAATTCATAGCCATCTGACTTTGGAGGCGTCTCTCACAAAACAGTGCTTAAAAATAAGTATATTAAAAAGAAACACTAAATTTCTAAATAAGTAGGCTAAAGAAGGAAAAAAAAAAAAAGAGGAAGTTCTATGAACTAATTTTCAATGGATAATGAGTGAGAAGAAACAGGAAACAGATGTACCAAGGGATATTTACTCTATTCAGGGGTCTCCAAGCTTAGTTTTTTCCCTATTTTTGACAGGTAGCAGCAGCGACTATGACAAAAGACATGACCATCCAACTGGTAATGCTGAATGCAGTACTACTTTGAAATAACAAAAATACACTCCCCACAGTATGAGAACCCCTGCTTTTAAAAGAGAAATTCTGAAGTTTCTGAACACATTCAAGGTCAGGTTGAATGGGGCTTTGAGTAACTGAATCCAGCTGAAGACGTCCCCACTCACTGTAGAGGGGCCTGGACTAGATGGTCTTTAAAAGTCCCTTCCAACCCAAACCATTCTATGAAATTTCAATTGAGAATTATAATCTCAATAAGAAGTAGTAACAGATGAGTTTTCTATATTACCAGAACAACAATTTTATAATGCAATATGACATGTGTGCATGTGGTTTTCTGGTAGTGTGGTATCTGGCTAGCAAGACAAAATTTTTACACTATCTTTTTTGCAACCACACTTTAAAAGTATTTTTCATGGAAAATCTAAGTTTTAATTAATGAATTTAGAAAATACCTCTGTTCTGCAGAAAACTTCTTTTTTGCTTTATTTAAGCATTTACATTTTACAATATGAAAAACCTTCCAAACTCAAAATTCTACTGATACGCCTATGCTTTTTTTAAAAATCAGCACTTTAATTTTCAGTGCCAAAGCAGGCAACTCCAGACAGAGCATTGCAAGGCATTAGTAATTAACAAAGATGACGGAGCAATGAAATATGATGAGCTTTACCTGGAGAGGAAGGAGCACTGGAAGGCTGCTGGTCTGTGGAAAATGACGGCCAGGAGCGCTGACAATCTGAGTCAGAGTAAAGATGCACGTAAAACAAAGGGAGAGAGGAGAAGGGATGGGGGGGAAAGAAAATGCAACAAAAACAACAAAAAAAAGCTCCAGCTAGGCAGCTGAGGAGATGCTGACATAGCTAAAACGTATGTTGCATCTAACATCATTAAAAATTAAAAATACTGTGGAAAAGAGTTAATGTGAAACTCTTCTAGTGTGTTTTACGGGTTATCAGAATATTAAACCACCATTGGGGAGGCAGTGTGTCTCTTCAAACCCATTCTTCATGACAGTGTCACCTGGTGCAAGATATTCTTCCCTACATGCCAGTCCCATTTTGAGGAAAGCGACCTATGTGTTTGCCCCTTCCTTCCTGACTTTAGGGTTTCCTCAAGAGGAAACTTTTTTTTTCCCCTTTCCAAAGTGTCATTTGCATTACGGGTCAGGCCCCTCTTGCTCTTGTTCCTACCACTCATGATATAGGTAACTCCTGGTCAGACTTCAGTGCTGCCAGCCACGTTTGAAGCTGCCTGACACATCCCCTAAAAATTTAAGCTGAGTGCCTGCCTGAAGCTGAATTTCCTGAGGAAAAGTGTCAGGCACACAAGAGGAGTCAATAATGATGAAGATACTCAGTAAAATATAACATAAATATAACATTTATGCTATGTTTAGTTATTTTGAATAGCATTATCCTTTTAACTATTATCACATTAAGAAAAAACTGAGGATTCACACACTGGGACAGGGATATCTCTCAGAAGTGTTGCCTTACTTTTACATATTGAGAAAATTTCTCAAAATATAAATGTATTTGAGTTTAAAAAACTGAAAAAACCCTCATGCCCCAAGTGTTCTGTCAGTGCTAGGCATGTTCCAGCTATGGCTCTTGGGTCTTTGGTAACTGATGATGCCAGGGGAAATGAGGATGGGAGAAAATGAGTTGGAAATCTCTGGTTGCACAAGGATAATGCAGGGAAGCCAGATGGGGGATCCAGGAATGTGATGCAAAGAGAAAAACAGAATTTATTGAATATGAGAAAGCAACATCTTGATTTGCAAATAGAGGCTGAGGACCAAATTAAAGTTGAATGGGAATCTTTAACTCTTGTACTTCCTAATTTCTTGTTTTTGAGCTTTTGACTTGGCAGCACCAGTTTTCTGTGCAGATAATCTTATTGACAGTAAGTACAAACACACTCTCCTTTTTCTTTCTTTGAGTCACTATGAGAACAATGTTAGGTAACCTCTCAGGTCCACTAAACTCACACTGTTTTACTAGGAAATAGAAACTGGACCTACAACGCCTGGCAAAACTCCTCTGATACTCGCCCAAGATGAAGGAATTTCCTGCTTAGGTAAAACAGGTGACTTTGTGGCTTTTGCTGCACTCCTGAGCTTGTTCCACCATGCTCACCCGCAACAGAGATTCACAACTTGGAATATAGCAGAAAGCTGGAAAATGGGTAAATCAGGGATTGGTCATCAGTGGGTGTCAAGGAGATTGGTTGCTTTCCACTTTAGTGCCTTATAATTGCACCTGTGTTCCATGTGGATTCAGAGAAGAAACTGAACCTTGTATTTTCAGACAATTTAACCCAAGCCTGAGCATCCATGCACTCAATTACTGAAAAGAAGCCTCTATTGTCTTTAGGGAATGCAGAACAGACAACCTGCAGGTGGCTTGCAGCATTCTCAGCAAATGGCAGCTTTTTTTACCCAGACACAGCTCTAATCCTAGAGTCTTTGGGGAACACTCAATTGTTAAGAAAGTGTCTAAGCAAGCACATTAGAAACATCACAGGACTACATGGTTGCTTAAGTGATCACAGAATCCAGACAAACAGTAAAATAAATTATTGAATTTGTGGGTCCCCATCTGTTCATAAATATCTACAGAGCATTTTTACAGGAACAGATGCATGTACTTCAGAATGCACAATACTGGAGGTCAAATCCAGAAATTTTTCTTCCTTCCCAATCTGTTTGTTTAGAAATTAATTCTTTGCTTTGTAGCTACTGGATGAATTATACTTTATAGGTAATTAACGTTTTACATTGGCTACATATACAGAAGCAATTTTTCTCAATTATAAAAAAAGGCAGACATCATCTACTTACATAAGAAAAAAAGAAAATTTTTCTCAAAAAAAAGGCAGACATCATCTACTTACATAAGAGCTCACTACGCATGCTCACTTTTCTCTTGGTGACAAAACTGTGGGTGCAATTGTGATTATGAGTGCTGGATTGTACATTTTTGTCTGCCTAGATCTCCTGGGCTGCAAAAGATTTCTTGGAAACCATATGGCACTAGATGCACATGAAAAGCACTGCAAACATTACATTGTCATAAACTGGCATGCCATAGATAAACTTATTTTCCTCAACTTACCAAGTGATTTTAACATTCCTGTTTGTCCTGTATACTTGTAACAGTTTAGAGAGAGCAGAACAGATAAAAAAGAAAAAAGGTAAGTGTCAGAAGAAATTCAAGAAACTCCTAGTATGGAAAGCAATACAGATGATTTTTTGAAGTGGCGGTAGGTGGCTGCCTGCAAATCATACTGTCCAGTAATCAACTTAGAAACATGGTGATAAAAGGTGGAACTTTACAAATCTAAGTATTTGTTCAGTTAATTTATTGGGTTGTGTTGAAGAAAGATATCTGTATTCAAGATTGAGACACAGACTAAACTTTGCCCTTGTCCCCCATCGAACAGCTATGTAATTTCTACTGCCAGATGCAATTCACAATCATTCCTTAATAGGGCCAAGGAGTGGAAAAGTACAGATATTTTAGAAAAAAAGTAAGACAGAAGAGTACCAAAAAATAAGTGGAAGGTGAGACTGCTTGGACTAAAATACACCTGGCACCAACCCACATTGCTATCTTGTTTTACAGGTCATTAAATTTAAGCAGGTCTGCCAAAATTTTGAGAAGAAAAAGTATAAGTACTTAAGGTATCTATAATCAATAAAACACACCTTAAAAATTAAACATTATTCTCACTGCTGAAATTTGAGCAATAACAAAAAATTTCTAACAAAAGTACATTTATAAAAAAGCCACATTGTAAATTCAGAGTTTTTTTGGAAGTTCATTAAAAGTAAAGCAACTACAACTAAGCTATTAATCATAAGGTGACTTATCAAAGTCCTTTCTTCTTTTTCCTCACATTTTACTATTTTGTATGGTGAAACTTAATAGAGATGGATCCACATTTATCTTAGGTATTTCTGCTTTCAAAATTTGTTTCACAGCCTACTCCACTGAGCAGATGGCAGAAGCACATTATAGTTTAATACAGCCAACTACGTTCAGTGCAGCCAAGATGAGTCAAACTATTTTGGTTGAGGCACAAACACAATAGTAACACATCCTGGGTAAATTTCACGTGGAAAACTGACAGCTAATCCCAGTAGTTTCAACCAACTGCAGAACTGGGGAATGTATGCACCAGCCTCAGAGACAGCATCTCTTCTAGCAGGCAAAAGTGACAAATAATCTTAAGTGTGTCTGCAGTGGAGTACACTTATTAAGGGAATGGCTGAATCTCATCCAGAAAAGCCAGCAACTGAGGATAAAAAGCAAAGTATTCTTGCTTTAGAATGACAAGAGCTTGTTCTGTCCTCATCCTCTCTCCTGCAGACATTAAAGAGAACCTGTGTGGAAATCACTAAGAGAAGCTGTTAAAGTTACTGGCATTCTGGGGGCACCATCCCTGGAGATGTGTTCAAGGGCAGGTTGGATGGGGCTCCGAGCAGCCTGTTCTAGTGGAAGGTGTCCCTGTCCATGCAGAAGATTTAGAACTCAATCATCTTTAAGGTCCTTTCCAACTCAAAAAATTATCTGATTCTGTGATTCTATAATGGAATTTCTTACCAGAATTTTCATATGCTTCAAAACTGAAATCAGGTTTCCGGTCCTCTGTCACGTGGTCATAAGTGATGTGTGGAACAGTTAACATCCTATCTGGAGAAGAAGGCCCATTGTCTTTGTCTAACTTAAATTTCTTCTTTTTAACCTAAAAATACACATACATTACATTACTCAAACCTATCTACATTTAGTTATCTCTTCAGTAATATCTTTGATAACCATGCAGTCCCCAATGAGCTATTATCAGTCAAAAGAGTTCCCAATCAAATAAATTTTTACTATGTTACACTGTGCATTTCTTCATATGGTTGCCCCCCACTGCACCAAAACTGGCTCAGTACTAGAATTCTGCACATTTTCATTAGCAAATCCCTTGCCTGCAGTAAAAAACTACTAGCTCTGCAACAGCTTATATAAATCAAACTATTCTAGGGTATCTTAGCTATGTCATAGATGCAATAAATGTTATCTTAAGCAAAAAGGAAGTGGCTATACTGCTACTGAACTCAGTTCAACCTGAGATACTAAGGAAGATATTTGCACACCATCCTCTCTGTCTAACTTGAGACTACCGTGCAATATTTTTACAGTAGAAATGATGAAGTATCACATAATTTACAGATTCTGACAAAGGTTTTTTGTAACTTTTTAAAACAAAAACTTCTGAACTTCTGCAATCAGTTGATATTAAAATACTATCATATGTAGGCACAAAACATCTACACCATAGGAAATGTTATAGAGATGCTTATAGTTTGGTGAACAACAGTAAGTTAATTGATTGGTATGTCTGAATTACATCATCATTGCCCTTCTCAAAACTCACAGATCTATTTAAAAAGTCATGCCTGGGAAGAGAAGCAAATGAAGTTACACTTTAAAATGGTTATATACTAAATATCCAAACTGAAATACCAATGAAACTTTGAAACCAAGTAATAATCTGTGAAACAAACAAGAAATAGCCTGTAGAAAATAAACTATTCAATCTAATTTAACATTTTTAAAATACTATAATAGGAAATGCTAGTTACTGGTACCATTACTGATTTCTTCGGTTTTGGACTGGGTGACAGTAAATGATAACTTCTGGCAGGTTTTCGAATGTATATTTTCCATGTAGAAGAGTCTGGGTTTTCAGCTGCATAGCATCTCCATGCAGTCTAGAACAAAGGTTTTAAGTCACAGAACAATTAATGCAATTGAATTTGTAGCTGTCTGTAGTACAGAGTAACTTCCAAGAAGCACATTTCCCCATTGGAAATGTAAACTCAGCATGGTTTAGAATTCTTACTTAGTAAACAGAACCCACATAGTTTGAACTGGGCAAACCAGAATGAAAGCTCAGTCTTTTCAAGTGCAGCTTTTGTTCACATTAGCAACAAACAAGTAATGGAGAGAATTCTAGACTGGACTGAAAAGATTGGGGTTGAAGTTCTTGCACTGTTTCAGTTTCTGTCTGAGGATTTTGCCTATTGCATCCTGTGTTTCAGGCTCCTACACAGAAAAAAACCCACATCATTCCTGCCTCCCTTACCAGAGCACTATCAGAAAAAGAGCAGTTGTGGTGTAGTCAATAGAGCTATGTTCATATGAAGAAATAAGTATAAAGGAAATAGCAGCAGTGGTTAAGGAAGAGCCAAAACCCAAATCCAATCCTCTCTCCTGGAGCCACCAATGACTATGTTCCCAGGCAAAAAGGAGGAAAAGCAGGGCTAGGAAACAAGACCAGCTGGAAACAAAACGCTAATGCATTCTCTCTTAAGTGTGTATATATTTCATCAGTGTGGATAAACAATTAGTCTTCAGATTAAAAAGGCAGATCCCCACTTACACACTACATGAGAAAAAGTAACATAAGGAGCCATGAAGGGCGATTCCACCCCTCGCCTCTGCGAATCACATAGGAAAGAATCATTAGCAGAATCTACATTCAGCACAAAAATTTTCACCAACTTCACTCACACCGCAAAAAAACCACACACATCAAAAATAAAGATAGGAGCATGAAACCACACAGAAAGGGATATTTTACACACAACCCACCCCCTCGTCAATTTACCACAATATTAACAACAAAAAATCCCCATAATCATACTTCAGTCCATGTTTTGCCCATTACCTCTCTTTATTTATATCCTTGTGTCTGTCCCAACTGAGGTGCCATTAAATGTCGTGGTTTGGGCCCATCACAACAAAGGAGCAGCCCCATGGCCACTCACTCAACCCCCCTCACACAAGCTCTGGGATGAGGACAAGGGCCAACTTGAAGCTCATGGGTCGAGAAAAAGGACAAGGAGGGTTCTACAGCGATTGAAGTCCTGGGCAAAACAGGCTCAACTTCGGGAAAAAATAGTAATTTAATTTCACACAAATCAGATGCACACAAGACACAGGCAACACAGAGAGCAGGGCTTGCATACGTTATGCCCACCCCTCCCTTCTTCCCAGTTTCTCTCCCTCCTTCCCCCCAGCAGCACAGGGGGACAGGGGATGGGGTTTAGAGTCAGTTCACAGGCTGGTGGTTCCTGCTGCTCCTTCCTCCTCAAGAAGGATTCCTCACAGTCCTTTCCTGCTTCCCCACGGGGTCCCTCCCATGGCCGACAGTCCTCCATGAACCTCTCCTTCATGAGTCCTTCCCACGAGGTCTGGAGCTGCTCCAGCCTGGGCTTCCCACAGAGTCAGGGGCTGCTTCAGGAACAAACTCCCCTGGCACCGGGGTCTTCCAAAGCTGCATAATCAGAGTCCACTGGCAGCAAAATCCAAGGCCACTGGCCAAGTTCACTCTTCCTGGTGCCTTCAGGGAATGTTCCACCACGTTCCTCCACGAGTGCAGGGGCACAGCTGCCATCTCACCATGGGTTGCAGGGAAACTTCTGCTTGGGCACCTTCTTCCCCTTCTTCCTCACCAACCACCGGGATTCTTCACCCCTCACTGCCTTTCACATCTCCAGCTCAGCTCTTCTTTCTGCTCGCTCTGCTCAGCTCTTATCTCAGTTCTTTCGTATGTTAATCACAGAGGTGCATCTATTGTCCCTCTAATGGCTGGTTTTGGATACGGGAGCTTCTCAGCTTCTTCCTGGAGCCACCCCTGGGGCCCTTCCCTGGCTACCACAGAACCCGCCAAACCAAACCAGCGCACATACACATACACAAAATCTGAAGTGGGAAAGGCCAGAAAACCCAAATGAAAGAAACAAAGCAAGGCAGAATGACAGGGAAAACAGACAGCAGCTGGAAAGTAAAGAATCAGGAAAGCATCATATGATTCCCACCATGGTTAATAGGATGCTGGAAAAAACAACTGGCCTCTAGAAGAGAACAAGAAGGAATACAGGAAAAAAGTATCACTCCTTTCAGCCGTTCTCTTGTACTTATTTCACAGACTTCTTAGTTTAAGAAGTTTTCTAAGGTATTTGTAGAGCAGTTATTAAATTGAGCCTTTACAAGTCTGAGACTATTAGTAAATCATCATTATCACCATTAAGAACAGGTAGTCAGCAACTCACTGTCTATCCTCCACTATTCCATAATATTTCAGATGAAGCCAAGTACAAAATTCTTACTATGCATGTTCAGGCTTCCCAATTATTTACGATTGATTTGCCAAAATAATCTGTAGGAACCCTAAAAATCCATTCTAGGCAAAATCATACCTTTCTCTGACCATGCAAACCAAACAAAACACACTGAGTCTGAAGACTTTTGGCTAATCTCTGACTATAACCAGAGCTCTACATTGAAACCTTTTTCACATTAACTCTGGGACTGTTTAGTTTCAAGCATAAACTTTACAGTTAGCTACTGTTTTCATAAAGAGCCTGATCTGGAAATCCACATTCACTCATGAAACTAGAGAAATAAGTCAAATGAGAATGCAAAAATAATATGGCTTAGTTTTACATCTAGATTTCTTCTATATTTGATACCTTTGCTTCTAAAGCTACCCATGCAGATACTGAGGGAGGGAGGAAAAGCTGGAAAAACCAAGATTGAAATAATATTAATACTTCTCCAGGGTGAAATGCTGGCTACAGTGAAGAAAAAGATAAATCAAATTGACCTTACTTACACTTAACTGCAACAGCATTTTTAACAGAAGGAATCAACATTTCTCTGCCTGTATGTTATGCTATATGAAAAGACTGATTTTGCAGAATCCCAGTGGTTTCCAGTCACCTATCCTGGAGCTGACAAGTTCCTATTTAACATTCTGACTTAATACTTCTGCATTTGATATTTTTAAGAATATGTTTGTCCTACGGAAAATGAAGCATATCTGACTTGTCTTTACAAGCAACAATGTATTTTTTAAGAATACAATTTTACATGAAGCTTCCTCTCCGGTTTTCACTACTACCAGCATAGTTTTTCATAACATTTTCCCCAGGTGCATTATTCATTAACTACAGGATAACCTTCAGTTTTCATTTTAACCAGTTGAATTAAAGATTTTGCACTAATGTGGGAGGGAACTTTTCTGCTCATTAGTTTATGTTCTAGGTGGGATTTCCAAAACTGTTTAAAAGACTTGCACCTGTAATTCTTATACATTTTAAAATAGGAATCAGGCATGAAAATACTGCCAACAGTTTTGAAAAAACTATAAATGGAAATAAATTATAGTATGCAAAATGCAGGAACTCAGTACCTGTATGAGAGAGGCAGCAGCTGGAATTTGACGGTTGAAATGCTTCTGTCTTTGTTTCTGTTGTACCTTTAGGGCAAAGCCTGAACCAAGAATTCCCTGTGGGAAGAAAGAAAACACAGATCTATTTTTTTAACAGCGAAAAAAACCCACACATAAGCTTGCCAAATTATGTTGTATTAATAAACTTCTATTCAGCAACATAAACCCCAACTAATTATTTAGAGGAAATGACTTAATACTGTTAAGTTTTCAGACTCAGTTAGTATTACTTGTTGAAACAAACTATGAATGCCATCATGCCCTGATTGAAAGCCTATTTAGATCAGTTGGATTCAAAGGCTAAAGAGTGAGCAGAAATTATATTTCATACCCTCTAAAAGTCTCATAAATGCTTGCTTAGGGGAATAATAGAATAGTGAGAAATATTAACCTGACGTACTTAACTTCACTTTAATGAGAAATAAAGCTTTGGCAAGGCAAGATTCAGGTCACAAGAAAAACCTTATAACTGTAGTTTGGTAATTTCTAGCTCCATATTTTAACCCATGAAAGAAGGGAGGACACAGAAGAGAAAACTGAATGATACAAAATGGTCAGGACTTCAGTGAGTTCAACACAAGGCCATCTAATCCATTCTCAGGTCCTGAGACATGGACTAATGGTATCAGATGGTGTAGAATTCAAAACAGCCTTCAAATTTAGTATAACCATTAAGTCCAAAGTTAGAGCAAGTCATTTATGTAGCCATTTGCATAGCCATAGAAGTATCTAACAGAGGTTTAAGTAACATAGATGAAAAGAAGATCTATACATCAGCTTACATGACTACACCTACACAAGAAAAACATAATTCATTTTCTACAAGGTAGCCAAAGGTGTCAGAGCAGCCAGTGATGTTGGCTCAACCTCTAAGAGCCACATTAATCATCAAGTGTTTTGAAAGGAACAGGAAAGGCCCTTCCTATTATGTTCACTTAGTAAAGATCAAAGAGTTAATGATGTCCAAACATCACTTATTTGGGAAACGAAGGATTGTTGTTAGATCCAGAACCCATAACCACATTGTTTAACCACAACAATTACTTTTGACTGTGATCTCAGCCAGCTCTGCTCATTTAAAATGCCGATGAGGCCTTGTGCAATAGTTACTATCTATCAACTACTTGCTGCTAGAGCTTCAAACCCTACATTTACCCCTTGGCCAACTCACAACAACAATTTAATTCTGTAATAAAAACTGATAAAGAGGTGTTTGTTGTTTTACCTCTACAGGCAGCTAGGGAAATCTGACAGGTAAACATAAAAGCACTGCTATGAAGGTGGGGCTGCAGAGTTATGTATAAAACATCTTTGCTGGCATTCAGGTGTGAGGAAAAAACCCACAACTCTCCAGCAAGCGTAATAGCTTTTGGCATTTTTCTTACAGATCATTTAATTGACCAGATCTCTCTTCTAAACAAGGAATAAATGTGAAAGAGATTAGAATGGGAAGGGGGGAAGAATATGCTTTAAAGGCAAACTGATGCTGGGGAATCTAAAAATCTACACTTAATTACTCTCCTCAGCAAAAGGCTATATACCCTTAAAGTAAGCAACTAATTTTAAAAAGCCACAGGAGTTAAATAGTTACTGTTTCATGTTGTGAAGAATTTTTATGATGGCACTGGCATAAAAGTAGTATTCTCATTTATCCTGTAGTTATCCCCACCACTTCCCTGCCACAATACACTAACATCTGCTAACACAACTGAAAAACTTTCTGGAAAATATACATGGTAACAGCACGTTTAAGGTTGCACAAACATCTAACTGCACAATTTAGGATGACTGCTAGATTTTTGAAAAAAAAAATAAATTTCCTTAACTACCCCGAGCACTGAACATTTTTGCATTGTCAAACCACAGTGAGTGTCTTTGAATTTACCCCTGGTACTCAAGTGCCTTGTTTCTTGTTAGAAAGTACTTGGGAACCAGTTTTCAGTGCAAACAAAGTGCCCTAACACCTTTAAAAGCTCAGCCCTAGGTCACTTCTGAAGTTGGTACTTCAGCCACTGACAGACGTTAATTTGGCAAAGAGCTGCATCGGTGTCCTTGAGTTGTTGTCCCTCTGCCAGTGACACCTTTTCAGCAGCTTTGCTAGAAGAAGGATGTGTATGAGAATTCCACAGCTCACTCTGAACCTAATCAGTTGGGTAAACTATGCGCGAATGCCTTAAAAAGCCAAAAAATCACTAAATCACTGAATCTAGAAGTAATTAGCATGAGAAATACCATCCTTTACACTTCTGAGGTGAACAGAAAACGTATGTGGGATTAAATACCCCTTTCCCAAGTACATACCAAAGCTAGTTGCATACAATAAACATTACACATCTACTTTTTAAAGCTACTTATAGAAGCTCTTTTGCTTCTACAAGCTACATATATTTTAATGACAATATGAAAATTAAATACAAAGCTTTCACAACATCATGTTAAATGAAAGGTTAAAGAATTAATAACAAAAGCTTTCTCTGACAACTAATAAGTCAACACCAAATTGTCAGCAAAAGCACAAGATAACCTACCGCAGGTAGTGCAAAAAATGAAATTGCAAAGACTGAAAAACAAGATGCAATGGTCTTTCCTATCCAGGTTTGAGGCACTTTATCCCCGTAGCCGATAGTTGTAACAGTCACCTGTGAAGAGAAATACATAGAGCATTGCAGCAGGTATTTATGTGGCATTTACACAGCAACAGATCCTCAAAATGTAGTCTAACGACTCAGTAATTCATGTAATAGTTTGAAAGAACAGATAATTAATGCACACATGCAGGAGGCATCTGTTGAGTTTGGGTTTCAAAACGCTTAAGTAAAGATTACCACCATGGTGATATAGCAAAACAAGGTTTAATAAATCATTATTTGCATGAGCTTAAAGAAAGAATGGTTTTGTTGGAAGCAGAACACCTTGGGCATCCTAGAGCCATTTCAATTCACCTATGTCACAAGCATTTAATTTTTAATACAATTTTTAAAAATGTAGCTTATTTCAAAAACTGTTACCTATCCTACAAAAGTATTTTAAGAACTAGTAAGGAGAGTTAAGTACCCAAGTACCTTTGCCTCTATTCCTGAAATTGTTGTTGATCAACAACAATCACCTTAATTCAGGGCCTGATAAGGAACTGAAGGGATGACTATCTCCTGAACTATGTAAAAGGTTCAGTTTAACAAAAAAAAAAAACAACAAAAAACAAACTTAAATTCTAATTAGAATTTTCTGTTCAAAAAATAAGGTATAAAAAAGGAAATAAAAGTATGGGAAAAGCCTCAACTCTGACCTTCCTGAAAGCCAGGATCTCCTGAACTATGTAAAAGGTTCAGTTTAACAAAAAAAAAAAACAACAAAAAACAAACTTAAATTCTAATTAGAATTTTCTGTTCAAAAAATAAGGTATAAAAAAGGAAATAAAAGTATGGGAAAAGCAATGGCCTCGAGTACCTTCTTACCCAAAAGATTATCAGAAAAGATAGTGGTTTATGCTTCAGGTTTTTTTAAAAGATTTACAAAACCTGTCATTGAAAACTTTCAAACAACTATTCTGTACTACAAACTTAACTCCCTGTTTAAAAAAAACACATTAACTAGAAATGTGAAACGACATAGGTGTTTTTAAGCTGACTGAAGTATAACTGAAGAAAAATTCATATCTAACTAAGAAGTATTTGTCTTCCCTTTCCTATCCCCACCCCACCTATGCCTTCTGAATTGGTCTATATGAAGCAACAGTGACACAAGGAAAATATATTCTGTGCTGTTTGCTTTGGAGTTAAAAACAAACAAACAAACCCCACCATATTTTGAAAATCAGGTTGAAAATCAGTGTATGTTTAAGTTAACATTTTTCTCTGCCATCATAGCCCTAATCCATCTACAAACGCATTGTATTCAAAAATTACATATTATTTTTTCCCCAAGATATATGCCATTGAAACTCTACATGCCAAGTTTCTGCCCTAAATTAGTTTTTACAGCCAGATTATAACCCCCTAAAGAGTACAATACTAATTTTGCAGTTGTAAAATAGGACCTTATAATGGAAATACTAGCTCAGCTTCTACTCTAGCATAGTAAAAATGTTGTATAATGAAATTAAAATCATACAAGAGCTTGCACATTAAATTTTCACTGCAAAGCAGCATGGAAAACTAATTGTTTTAATTAGGAGCAAAATCATATTCATTCATAGACTATTTCAAAACTTTGATCTGATGTACATCACCACAGGCTTTGGTATTAAGATTAATCTTGTTCCTATTAAATATGCAACAATAGCCTGAAGGAGGAAATAAGAAACAAAAATAGACAGAGCAAGAAGAAATAGTAATGTTTGTCAGCACTGAATGGGGAAAGGGGTTTATGTCAGGCTACAGTGAGCACAGCAAACTCATCAGGTGAGTAGGAATGCTCTGTTGATGAAATCCTTGCTGTGTGCTGTGCAAAAACTTGGACAGTTAAACAGCTATAAAATACAAGATCACATGATTCAGTAGTACCAAAGAGGCAGACATCACAGGACTCAGGGAGCAAACCCAACTAAAACTTTAAATAAATTCAAGGGCAAGTCACCTTATAGAAAATACCTTAACTCCTTTGTTTCTAAATTTGCAATACTGCAACTTCAAAACCAACGGCACTAGATATTGTTCTGCATATCAAATATCACTCTGAATTTTCCGACCCAATCGCCTTACCCACTTTGATTAAATCACGTAATACAAGAACAACATCCAGTGGTTTAGCAGCAGTGGCTCCCTGGCTTCTTCGTGATTGGATTATAGAAAACTGAAAACGTTTGGAATAGTCTCCTCTACGTCTACGTGTAATGAACATATGAGAAGCTTTTTTACTGCTTGACATCTTATTCGGTCACCCACATTGATGCGAGTTGAATATAAAGCAGAATCTTCCCGTGTTGCTGAAATCCATGCAGCACAAGTGCAGACAGATTAGACATGCGTGCTCTTATTTTACTGTCAAGTATGCACTCTGTATAAAGCCAACAAAACCCATCATGAGCTTTCAGTATTTTCAATTCTTTTCCAACTGACAATATTTTTCTTCCTTGTGCATATAAGGATGTTGGCAATAAGAACAAATTTAAACAACAGATATTCCCCTTTCTGCTCCCAATCACCTCTTTGTACATTGCAGCACCCTGAGAAGATTCAAATTACATCCTTCAGATCAACAAATTAAGATACTATGTTCTACAGGACACAAACATCAGAAATAAATTGGAATCCATAGCTTAAAAAAGGACTGTTTGGATTTTCTTCTTTTTTTTTTACAGTACAGTGATAGCCACTTCTTTGGGAGGCAGCAGCATGCCCGCCCTTCTCTGCTTACTGATCAGATGAATGGGAAATGGTGGGAGGTCTGCTGGCCACCATCAGCCTCACTGCTGACAACGTCAACAGCCAGGTCTGCCTATTAAATTTGATCTCACCAGTGCTGAGTTGAAGCACATCTAGGTCTTAATATATAGAAGAGACGTTTGTCTTATCTCAACCTAGCTCAACAAGGCCACTTCTGTACAAAAAAATGTCAGAAAAAGCAGCCAGTTGAAGTAGTAACCTCTACATCTCAAGTGTGATGTTGAAAGAAGTGCTGGGGAATGTTATCAACACATGCAGGTAGTTCCTCTGTCCATGGGAATTCTGCAGCTATTTATTTTCCCTTCACTACTGGTACTAAATTAAACCTCACAAAATACAGTAATTATATTGAAAAGAAACAGCATCATCTAGGTACAACAAGGGAAAAAAAGAATGTTTAAACATACACAAAGTAGCCAAAAATCTAAGAAGTTTTAAAACATCCTCCTGTGAGGGTCATTCTAGTCATGTGACAGGAATGGCAGAGCAAAGGCACCTTCGGCCTCCTACAGACCCATTTTAAAATGAGTAATATTTGTGCTAATTATTGAAATTTAAATTAAAGCCAAATTTCTGAAATTATAATTATTTTTTCCTAGATCGTGATGTAGAAAGTTGTCTATATTTTGAAACAGTTCACTATTGTTTCATCACATGAGAAAAAGACCATTTCTGGGTTCTTCTAGATATAAATTTTTTCTTGTCTCCTTGATATTTTTTCACAGAGGTTTAAAGCTTTGGGAATTAAGAAAATAAGTCCCAATAGTGTTCTCTAGATGTAAGATTACCTACATCTGTACTTTGTAAGTAAGAATTTGAAAAGGTTTCTCTACACCTACCCCACAGGTCTTCATTAAATGAGAACAAATGCACTTGGAATTATTCATGCAGTTAAAGTCTTGAGAAGAGAAGGCAGTTGCAAGATGCAGAGATTGCATGCAAAAAAGCATTTAAAAATACCAACCCTTACATCTTCTGATCCTCACTCCAAAAATTCTCAAAGTAACCAACTCCCTCCAAAACAGAGCCAAATATTTCACCCCAAAAATTAGGAAAAAAAGGTATATAACAGGCCTATAGTTGGTACACTTGACTTGTAAACCACAAAAGGAAGTGTCTCCTTCTGTTGAACCCCAAAGTCCGTTTACAGTCTTTTTATTTAGAAGGGGAACACAAAGGGTTCTAAATAACACAAGACCCCTTTTATGTGGCAAATTGTCAATATTTATGTTTCACTATTTATAAATTTAATCAGATTTGTTCTAATTTAGCAAGTCTTACCAACATACAGTTTCAAGTGCAATTTCTTGTAAGTTTTCAGCAAAGTTTTCCCAAAATTTTGAATTTCAATTTACATTAAGCACATACTTGTAGGCTTTGCTAAATACAAAGATGGTTCTAGGTATGCTTAGAAGTAAGCAAGCCTATCAGTGTTTTGTTGAACTCAGTCCTTGGTGAGAAGGCATATCTCAAGGAATTAAAGGAACAAGAAAGAAGCTAAAGCTGATGCTTGCAGAAAATTGCTCAACCCAGTTCAAACTAATTCAAAGGAATGGACACAGTGTAATATCCATGTCTGGCTACATTCAATAATCACTTGTGGCAACTAGTGCTCATGATCAAAGAGACTGTTAGCAAAATCCACATAATGGTTTTCCTGCAGGATGTTTGTTCAGATGTGAAGCCTGGAAATTGCGTATCATTCAGTGGATATCAAAAAGGAGAGCTCCTCTCAGTCTGCCTGAGGCATGATTGAATTTCATGCTTAAGGTGGGAGGAGGGGAGAAAAACATGCAAAAAAATCCAGAGACAGTAAACCAATAACATTCTCTGAATGTGGTCACCTTTGACAGATTTGGTGAGAACATATAGCATCTTAATTTAAAAAACAAAAATTAACTTGTTTTTAGTGTCCAGAATCTATATTAGGTCTTTAAGACTCTTAAATCTGGACATGAAGGACAACAGGACAACACAGAGTAATTTTGAATACTTGCACTGGGGAGCTGAAAGATGCATCATGTTCTTTGTATTTTATCTGCAAATATTAAACTTGACTGTTAAAAGAAGTACAGACCCGGCAGAATTATTTATACAACATGCATTGCATTCAAAACTAGCAATAATATAGACAAATCTTTACTCCATGCCATAAGGTAACCTTAGGTTTCATCAAGAAGCCCATAAACTGGAATGGCAAATAGCTACATCCCAGAGTTCTCACAGGAAATTCAAATAAAGCCCAGGAGGCCAGTTTACACATGGAAATGGAAAAGTAACATAGATTTATAAATAACAACAATGAGAATGAAGAACGTTTAATTAAAAGTTATGCACCCTATGGGTATGTCAATAGTCAGTAAAGCACAGTAACATGTAAGTACCCAATTCCAGACGCAGTTCGGTTGTGGTAACACAGACCTTTTATATTATACGTTCATCATAGAATGGTTTGGGTTGGAAGGAACCTTAAAGATCATGTAATTCTAACCCCCCAGAATGGGCAGGGACACCTCCCATTAAACCAAGTCACACAGAGCCTCATCCAACCCAGCCTTGAAGACTTCCAGGGAGGTGGCAGCCACAACTTCCCTGGACAACCTGTGCCAGTCTCTCACCACCCTCACACTAAAGAATTCCTTCCTAATGTCTAACCTAAAACTACCCTCTTATACTTTAAAGCCATTCCCCCTTGTCCTATCACTACATGCTCTTGTAAAAAACCCCTCCCCAGCTTTCCTGTAGCCCCCTGCAGGTACTTAAGGCTACCATAAAATGTCCCTGGAGCCTTCTCTTCTCCAGGCTGAACAGCCCCAACTCTCTCAGACTGTCTTCACAAGAGAGGTGCTCCAGCCCTCAGATCATCTTTGTGCCCCTTCCCTGGACTCCCTCTAACAGCTCCATGTCCTTCCTGTGTCTGGGGCTTCACAACTGAATACAGTACTCCAGTTGGAGTCACACAAGAGCAGAGTAGAAAGGTAGAATCAGCTCCCTTGAACTGAGGGACACATTCCTGATGCAGCCCAGGACATGGTTGGCTTTCTGGTCTGCAAGCACACATCATAAGCTCATGTTGAGCCAGCACCCCCAAGTCCTTCTCCTTGGGGCTGTTCTCAACCCATTCTCCACCCAACCTGTGTTTGTTCTTGGGGTTGCCCTAACCCAGGTGCAGGACCTTGCACTTGGCCTTATCGACCTTCATGAGTTTTTCATGGACCCACCTGTCAAGGTCCCTATGGATGGCACATCTTCCTTCCAGCATGTTGACTGCACCATGCATCCTGGTGTCATAATCAAACTTGCTGATGCTGCACTCAGTCCCACTGTCCATGTCCCTGACAGCAATATGGTTTTCTTTATGCCATGCTACATACTTACATACTCTATTGCCACTCCCCAAAGAACTAGTTTAACAGTGTAGATATACACTGAGATTAAAAAAGTGCAGTTTTGTAGAGTAAGAAAGAGGGTATGAAAATGTTATCAAACACAATTTTTTTAGAAGTTTTATTCTAAATACTTCTAATAATCTTCTAAATAGAGACTGCACCTAGAATATTGCATACAGCTCTGGAGCCCTCAGCAAATGAAAGATATAAACCTGTTGGAGAGGGTTCAGAGAAGGGCCATGAAGATGATCAAAGGGCTGGAAACATCAAGAAGAAATTCTTTACCTTAGTAAGTTTCTGGAATAGGTTGCCTAGTGAGGTTGTTGTGCAACGTCCCTGAAGGTGTTTAGGGCCAGGTTGAATGAGTCTAATGGGAGGTGTCCCTGCTCATGGCAGGGAGGTTGGATCCTGATGTTCTTTGAGGTTCCTTCCAACCTTAACCATTCTATGATTCTCCACTAGGTAAGGTCCTGTGACACTCTCAGAGAGTGAGATTAGCTACATTGCCAGATAGGTCACATACCTATGACAGTGTTTGAGACAGGAGATGTACATTATCCTCTTCTGCATATCCAGTTTAAAACAGACTGAGACAGGTTTTCAGTGACCAGAATTTGTGGAGTTTAAGCTATTCTGAAAATTCTGGCTAAAACATAACCAAAATGTTTGAGACCTAACACCGAGTTGTCTGACCCCTGTACTGGAAAACTCTGTGATGACATGAAAGCATTGTAAAAGCAAGAAAACCACTTCCTTGTACTACACAGCAAGCTTTCTGATCCTAAAAGAGGCTGTATTTTAACCATGGCAGACAGCAAGAGGAAAGAAGTCTGCAGCAGATCTCAGCAGCAACCTAAACAAAACCTGTGAAATCAAAAAAAGCTACATATGCATTTCAGCATCAGAAGACCTGCTCATCAATAGATCTTTCCTTCCTGAAAATGGTACTCTGTGGACAGAAGACTACATAAGCACATACATGCAGGGGTTTATTGAAAATGTTTCTCAAAAATATGTTTATTAGTAAAACAGAGGCGTTAGTCTTATAATATTGTATATAAGACTTACTAGTATTCTCTTTTTTAAATAAATTTAAAAAAAACAAACAACAAAAAAACCCCAACCCAATGCCTTTTGATCTACAACAGGAAAGAGAAGACTCTAGAAGATGAGCACATTTTGCAACTTTAAGTTTGGAACCATTAATGATGCCTATGTATTCTGTATATAAGACTTACTAGTATTCTCATTTTTAAATTAAAAAAAAAAACAAAAACAAAAAAACCCCAACTCAATGCCTTTTGATCTACAACAGCAAAGAGAAAACTCTAGAAGATGAGCACATTTTGCAACTGCAAGTTTGGAACCATTAATGATGCCTATGTATTATAAAGCACTTAGTGATGACTGTTTTATTACGGTACATACAATTAACACAGATAAGAACAAGTCGTTGCTTTAATGCTAACAACAAGGAAAAACAGCTTCCAAAAAGTACCTTTCTTTGAATTGTAATAGGAAAAGGAAAAGGAAACAATTACAGATGGGAAATCCCAGAACATAACAGCCATCCTAATATTTACATTATCATACAAGAAAATAAAGGGAATTTTTGCTAGCACTGACATACAATGCCAGAATAGAGTTGCCAAATTAGTAAGTACATATAATAAACTAAAAGAGACAATTGTCACTAGCAACAGCAAGAAAGCAGAACTTTAGTAGTAGAACTAAAGATACACCTACACCCACGTGTGGCAGCATCTTAGAGAAACCTGAGAAATCTCTAAGCAAGATGGTATGTCGACATAGCACAATGGAATACCACACATGAGGATACTAAATGGGTTCCAAACCAATCTAATCACTTTAAAACAGTCCTATGCTTGGATTTCTCAAGTATCTTAAATGCTCTTTGTTCTGGAATTAGTGTATTCTGAATAAACAGGGAATTGCAAATGATAGATATATTATAAAAAAAATAATAAAAAAGACAAAAAAACCCCTCAAACATATACACACTCAAAAACACCAAATACACTAACCCTGATTTCACAATACTCTTACCATCCCAGAAAGTTGAATCCTATCATGAGAAAGGTAGCAAGAAGTAATCACTATTAGTGGAGGGAAGACGAGATAAAAAAATAAGAATAATGTTTCAACATCTTGTATACATAATTTGATCACTTCTTATCACATAAGACTACAAACACCAAATAAAGCTACTGATAATGTATAGTATTTTCTTAGTTTCACAGGAAACCAGGAAGTACATTGAAGTTGTAAGAGGCCATTTCAAAATGCCATTCTTACTCAATGCTTGCTTGAACTTTACATTTGAAGGTGTTAACTGCTACTACTACATGTAAAATTGCTATACTTACTACTCCCCACCACAGGGCATCTGCATAGCTGCCAAACTCTGTTTCTCCAGAATCATTTACAGCATCTTTTTCAGCCAGGTACACAAAATAAGAGGAAAAAATCAGGCCCAGAAATCCAATGTAGAGTGTAGTTATCAGTTCCTGCAAAGAGAATCAAAACAATGGCGTTATGATATTGTTGAGACACTTAAATTGCCTATCACTGATGTTTTTTAAAAGATAATTCAACAGAAGACTGTAATTTCAGCAATTAATAAACCCTGACATGACTATAGGCTGTGCAAAGTAACAAAAATCCACTGAGCTCAATAGTGAAAGAATTTACATCACAGCTGATGACTTGGTTCAGCATGTGCATTTCAAACAGTTAAAACAACCTCCTTACTTGCAAGTAGGATTCATTAACGTTTTGGTCACCAACAAGCAGCTGGGTAATTTTTTTGAACAGTACCACATTTAAAAAAACCTTGGAATTTAGATATAATAATAATTTTAGAAATACTCAAGACTAATTTTCAGAAGTCTTGTTTTCTGTGGTTAAGTCCAGCTACAAGTCAAAAAGTTTGCCAAAGTGGAGGTGAGTATTTTTAATCTTTCAGGAATGTTTTTTTCCCTTGAACAAGGGAAAAACAGACTTGGTTAAAATAACTGCCTGCTTCCACACGAAATATATTTGACATCATTAGCTTGTCTGCATACATGCTGTTCTGAATATAAGGACTTCTGCATCAATTATTATTACATCCCTCAGAGTACTGAACCTTACTTGTCTGTGGATGAACACTACTGATCCCAGCAGCCTCCAGGTACCACCCTGCCGGTCAACATGGAGCATTCGTAAAATCTGCAGAAAACGGATGCCCCTGGAACAACATTTTTTAATTAATGAAGAGGTCAAAGGTCCAAGAGACAAAATAGAGGCAGAGGGGTGAAATCTGCCTCTTCCAAAGGACCATTTTAAGAGAGAGATCCAATATTATATGTTAGATTTACCAGCCTGTCTCGTCACTCCATTCACCCATCTTTCATCTTGTTTGTTATGAAGACAGCATGGGGAGATTGCACAAGAGAAGGACAGACCTTTGCACACAAGGCTAGTAAGGATAACTCAAGGATTTAGGAATTTTGGAGACGAACTGTGAATGCTTTAGAAAATATTCACCAACTCATATTTGACCTGCTCCTCAGGATGGGAAGCAACATCCAAAATCCAACTAACTAAAGATTCAATTCCCTCACCTTTGAGGAATTTGAACTGGATGGTCCTATAATACCTTAAAATATTCTTTTCATAAGGGTCATTGCATTCCTACAGCAACACTGCAGCTACTGCACAGAGCACAGTACACTGCCCTGTACTCTCTCATTCAAGAAAACCAAGTGGTGTGACCTTCCTGAGCACAAGATGGATTCAGTCCATCAGGAATTCACAACCATTAGCCCCAGGCATTTTATGACGAAGCAGCTTGAAGACATTAGAAACATGAAACATGAAAGAGCTTTAAAACTGAGCCACAAAACTAAAATAGGATTTGGCAGAACCCACCTAGTTGAGAAAAGGAGGCAGGGGTATGTCCACCACTATCCCCACCAGACATAAATGCTATACAACCAGATAACACATGCAGAATTTAAGATGACTATTTCACACTCTTACATGATTGGTAATCTCCTCTGTTACATGACTCTGAGTAGTGATTTGTTTTCTCCTGACAGAATTTAAATAGGATGTAAAAAAAAAAAAAAAGGGAAAAAAAAAAAAGAAGGGAAAAAAAAAAAGCACCTTACTTGGTACTATCTTATTTTATTGCATATAATTACCTGATAGCTGAGGTTGCAAAGACTTGACCTTTAGAGCCCACACAAAGAACTACCATGGAAGCAACAACTACAATTAAATCTGGAAAAAAAAAGTTAATTTAAAAAATTAGTTAGCAGCATCTTGCAATACTTCTGCAAGAACCAGTTCCAATATTACTTTAACAAGTTGAAAAGTCACTCTATGTTAAGATTTTAATTTCTCTATCAAGAAATCTCTACTGTAACATATAAAGAAAACATAATTGCGTGATATGATAGAAAGGTTTTACTGGGATAGGTCCAAGATGGCCACATTCTAGATTAATTATGACAGTGGCATGAGTTACTAAAAGCATCATCACAAGCCTGGAATCCTCATTAGCTATAACCCATGAGGAATTTCAACTGTTTCAACCTATTATCACATCTGTGTATCTTATTTTCCGTGGTGTTTTAGATAGTATTTTATTCAGTGACAGAGGTTTTTGGGTTTATTTCATATATAATATAATCACCTCACTATTATTTCATCTGTCTCGTTCTAAAAGGGATAGAAAAAGAATGAAGTAGTGTGTGAGTCTAATTTAGTGTAAGTCAGCCTTTATCCTAAGACTGTACTCTAAATCTCTGTGCCTCTGGCCTAGTTAATTTTGGAAAGCAACTCTGTATTTTGGAGAATGAAGTGGTTCTTGATACCTGTCTGGGAAAGCTGAATTTTTGTTTTGCTTTTCAAGCTGAAATAAATTGGGTGATGTTTCAGAACCCCTAGTGTTCTAGGTCTCCAGAGAAATGGATTGTGGACAGAGTGCAAAGATGCAGGGAAAGCCATTTTATAATTGCAATCATACTTGAGAAACTTTTATATATATGCACAGAGAAGCTAAACTAAACAATTTTATTATTGTAAAAATACCCAGGTACAACATTTTGTAATTTATATTCAGCAAAATTGTAGATAGTTTATGAAAAACTACATCCTCTAGTCCACAAAAATAATGTTTCTGAGTAATGGAACAAAGTGTTTCACTGAACAAGAATTTCTGTGCTTCTACAATAACACTCGTCTTCCAAAATCTGGTTCGTTAAATCAATTTATATTAAGTGATTCAGAGTCTTTACAGAGTTACAGAAAGGGTCTTTACAGAGTTGCCTCAGTAATGGTTTCTGATGTAGGTGGAATATATGGATGTTATTTCTATGAAAGCTGAAGTCATGTTAGAAAACCAACTGCAATGACTACCAAGAGAAGTCAGGTGCATAGTTCCAAATGCATCACTTAAAAAGAGTATTTTAATCCAACAGATACACAAAGTAACAAGTGTACCTATCATGCTCCACCATGCAGTATATAGCTCAATTACAGTGCAAGATAAACTCAAAACAAATTATTCAAATGACTGCTGGAAAAAAACCCCCACCCTTCAGTATCTTAGAAAAAAATACAGTCGTAGCTATTGTGCAGTGTCTGGGATCCTGAGGTCACAGGAGACAGGACTACAGCCAAGACTTATTTCTGGCAAAGCTTCAGATCACTTGTGAAAATAAAACACTGCTCTTCTGGAAAAACAAACCCAGCTACATTTGTTCTCAAATGACAGTGCCATGAATTCCTGAACGGAAATTCAGATCTACATTATTGCTAATGACAAGAGCCCTTGCTCTAACTTGGCTACAGCTGCTGCAGAAATTCCGCTTCTCAAAACTTTCAAGGATAACTTCTACTTGGTGTTTATGTCAACTTTGCAAGCTGTGCATACTCACCAATGATTGAAATAGGCTTCCTAGCAAAACGCAGCCTTCCCCATATTCCAACATATTTACTGCGGCATCCTGCTGACCATAACCGAACCACATATTCCGTTCCAAAGAATACCACTAGTACAATTTCCTAAAAGAAACAGAGAGGGAACTAGGTTAATTCTCTACTGTACATCTTTCAGCTTTTTTTAGAATGTATTACGAAATGCTAAGACAAAACGTGAAATTTGGAAGGTGAAAAAAATTTCAACTACACCAATATGATCTAAAGTAACAGAAAAACCCACAAAGAAGGAAAAGATTAAGAGTAAGTTTAAATACTTAATTGCATACAGTTTGTCTTGTCTACACAGACTAAAACTGAAAACATTCTGTGCAATTCACTTGGTCTAATTCAAACAAAAGGTTTCCTGACCTAGCCAAAGAAAACAAGCAGTCTGTATTGAAAAGACGAGTACTTTGCTGGCTTATTTAATTTCAGGAGGACGTGTGCTTTGCATCTCATTTACCATATCAACTTAACATCCCACTTATTTTTACTCTTTCAGTCTTCATTTAATCTCACATGGATTGAAGAAAGATTTCTAGTACCCATTATCAATATATCCATCTCCAGGTGCACTGAAAACACAATGAGACCCCAAGCAAGCCTTCTCCATCTCCTTGTCAACAATTAGAGACTTCATCAGAAACAGAGGTCCTGAAGCACGGCTGTTATCAGCCACAGACATATATGCTAAGGTATGACTTTGGAAATGCCTACAAAGTGAGAGATGTCAAAGACACACAACATTCTTACTGATTAGAGACGTTCAATTACGTCATACTTGGAACTTAGTAAATGTGCAGATAAACCTTGCTTTTCTACAGACTGGTTGAACACAGCATACTCAGCATAGCTGGCTTGAGTATTAGCGAGCTGTAACACTTTCCTTATTGGTCACCTCAATTAATAACTGGTCATGTTCTCTATCAAAGCCAACAGCAAAATCTACTAGTTGGAATGGTACCAGCAGTTTGAAATTGAGAACACGCAGCACACTGCATATAGAGTGTGAAACAAAGAAACCAATCATAGTTACATAGGATGATGCAGATTAAGAGAACGAGCTGGTTCTTTCATAGAGTGATTTAATATAAAGAGCAACCACAGAATGACGTGCTACTGAACATTTTATCCTGCCTCCTCAACTTTTCTGCAGGGCTCACTGCAGTTAGCAAAATGGACTCAAGATGGTACCTACAATTATTTTATAAATTAACTGAAATACCAAGGATATGATCCTAGTCCAGTCAAGATGAATGCGAGTGACATTACCAGCTTCATAAATGTATGGGATGTTGCCCTGAATACTGAGTACAATAATAGATATGCATAAAGTAAAAAGAAAATGGGAAAAATGGAAATGGGAAATAAAGAAAATGGGAAAAAATGGGATTATGAATCAGTCCACTTCGCTACAATCTTTTTGTGGCTCTAAAACACTGGTCTCCTGATGGCATGAGAAAATGCTTATCTACAGTGTTGAAGTTTGACTCTGTGGCACTGGTAGAAAAGTTAGGAGAACATTAGCCAGGACGCTTTCCCTTTGTTTTGAAAATCTCATAACCTGTGCAAGATGTCAGATGCAACTATCACAATAATTTATATGCCCTTGTATTCCAGTTAGATTTTCAAGCTATAATGAAACTGTCCAGATCACTGGTTGTAATAAACATGAAGCTCAGACCCTTTGACCCTGCCAAGAATCTCTTCTACAGCTTCGTTCTGAAAGGACCTACCAGAACCCTTAATTTTTTTTATTTTTTTTTTTTTTTAAAAATTAGTATATCCTTAAATATTTTTCAATAAAATAAAGTCATAATGAAGGTTGTAAATCTAAAGGAACAGCATCTGCAGCAGATGCTTTAAGGAAAGGCTGTGTCTTATGACAGAAGCTTCAAAATGCTACAGAACTCTCACTTTGTCGAACTGTACCTAATATAATTTACAAACCTGCAGTAAATGGCAAAATTATGAGTCCTGCTTCACATGATGTGCCCCTGAATTGTGACAGTAAAATAAACCAACAGAGGCCATCTTTTCTGACCAGGGGATTGCATTTGTTTCACAGACATAGTCAATAATCTCTAAAATCCAAGTGCTCTTCTGTACTCAAAAGGCTAGTACATCTCCTTTCATCACTACCATGAAGGCAGCTCCCTTAACAAAAGACAATGGTAAGCATACAGGGAGCAAAACTGTTCTTCGTTCCAAATAACTTTAGGAAGGGACGTATGGCCTCACATCACGTGTTAACACAGCCAGTGCTGTTCAGATATCCCCAAAAGCAATTACCAAAAGCAAATGAACAACAAAGAAATTACCTTGATAGGCAAAGAAAAACCTGGAAAAAAATGTTTTGGTGCAAAGAAGCTGCAAACAGCACCCTGAGCAGGCACTGTAGCCCTGTCGGGATCACAGTTTCAGTGTTACAGCGAGAAGGCAGAAAGTGAAAGCCTGGATTGTGTTTTAAAGAACTGTGCATTCTCTTTGTAGGAAATTTGCATCCAAGTTGTGCGCGTATGTTTTTTAAAGTCCCTCCATGGTTCATTGGGTAACAGGCACACCGGCAAGTATGCAAATGGGGGCTGTCCCAAAGACAATGAGACAGACACGCAGTCAATGGTTACTGTCATCCAGCTCTTTGCATGACATGCAGACAAGCTTAGAGAACATTGATTGTCCTATAGACTCCGGTGACTGGAGGGAACGACCAGTCGGCTTACACCAAGACACATTTTTCACTCCTGACGTTTTGATAAAGGCTTATTGACCTAAATGAGATCCAAGTTATTCAGGGAACATCAGGGGTGAAAGTGCACAAGCTGTTCTTCATGGTCATACACAAAACCTCCAGGTATCCATTGGCAACTGGCAAATTTCCCCCTCCCCTGCCCGTGGCAGTGTGACAGACAAAAGTGTTTTTAATATCTTGCATTGCATAAGTCTAATAAGTAGTCTCTTGGGCATGGGGGAGGCTAATGAATTCCTGTCAGTACCCACTTACATTAATGTTCAGAAACTTGTAGAAAACAAGGAAAAAAATACATTAGAAAATCATGCTTTCCGGAGCTACTAAAATATTGCCTCTATTTTTCCTGATTAACAGCTTAACATGAAATTTTACATTAACTAGAAAGGTTCCAGCCTGATCCTTACTTCATTTATGCTGGTGGTAATTAGGGCTAATTCCATTTAACAGGAGTTAAACCCTGGCAAAGAGCAGCAATGCCTCACACCTGATAACTCTGGCAAATATGAATTGCACTACAGATTAATTTGGTCCTCTGCTCCTTCAATACTTTCTCCTAATTGCCTGCTTAACACTTACCTACTAGTGTTTGTGCTTCTCCCAATTAATCAGCTAGACTGCAGCATGGCTTCGGGAAGACTTAGAACAAAACAGAAGCTGATATAGCAAAATGGAAGGATAAAGTGCTGAGCAGACAGAAGGATGTAAAGAATGAGTGAAATAAAAAGCAAAGCAACATTCAGGAAAGGGGAAAATGAAAATACCAGAAAAAAAATGCCTGCAAAACACTAATGAGAGTGGGGATTACAGCTCAGCAGAGGTTAAAAATATAGGCACACAAGAACCGCACTGTGAAAGGACACACTCAACCCTGTGCAGCTTAATTGTGATCTACCTTCTACAAGGTGAAAAGAGAAATACAACACACAAAAAAATTGTACTGACATGGTAAGAAGAACCTTCTAAGATGTGACAGTCGTGTACCTTCAGCCTGTGGGCATACAGGAGCCCTCTTGCTTAGAATAAATACTTTTTTCCCTTCTTTTATTATTGATTTGAACATGGTACCCTCACTTCTGCCATCCCTCCTGTACAGCTCAATCATATACTTAAAGCCATCTTCATGCCTTCTCAGCCATGCAATCCCAACACAACCAAGTACCAGATTAATTCAGTATGAAAAGGTAGAGGAGATGAACATGAGGTACACACGTCGATTACATTTATTGAAGAACTCTATCAGTGCCAGTAACTCTCCAGCTGTGAGCAACTTCTCACATGTCCATTCACAACATTTCCAGCTACAAGGAACATGTAGACAAGACTAGTGTAACAACCTTGGGCATTTCTACTCTGGTACAGTGCTTGGTGAAACTGCAGTAGATCTCCAGGTATCCACTTAGCACATGCCAGGGCATGAAATGCTTCTCATAAAGATTGGTAAAGGAGCTTGAGGCCTCACTAGTGCAAGAGTAGAACGTGACTAAAGGAAGCAGAGACCAGACTTCTTCAGCTGTGTGACTGGAGTGTCCGGTCTATGAAAACAAATGCACATGGTATATTAGCACAATGGAGATCTGGTTTATTTTGCTAATAAAAGCATCTTGAATAGCCCTTCTTTTACTACTCCATCCCCACTGGATTGGAAGAGCTACAATCCAATGTTGGGAGGCATCCAACATCCACACTGTGAGATTAAAAAAGGAAGAACAGAATTCCTGCACTTAGCTGAAGGAGATGTTTTTAATCAATTAGACACAACAACAGCTTGGGAAAAAACACCACAACAAAAGCCTGACATAGAATGGATCATGACATCATAACATCAGCTATTTAACAGATAAAGAAGTTGTTTCTGGAGGCTGACAAAGCATCTGCATAAAGAATATAATGCATGAGGCTCTGCCTGTAGACCTCAAAACTGTAACTGGTTGTTGAGCATCACATAAGTTCATGTAGCTATTTGATGTGGGAGGACTAGATGAGGTCATCTGAAATCTGTTATGAACAAGAACACCTTTATTCTGTTGGGTCTAGGCCTTTGTTAATTAGCTCCATAAAACATAAGAGCGATAAAATACAGATTTCAGGGTGAAGGAGGCAAAACATACCACTATGTTATTCTGATTAGCTTCTGAAGACAAAAAAAAATTAAAGATGACATACAAGTTATTCCACTGAGGTAGAATGCCACTGAGACACTGAGGTGGCTGCCTTCAGAGGAAAGGGAGATGATAAGCACAGTAAAACAACAGGCACTGGTAAGAGGGATTACTTTAAGCCTCATAAGTACACACTTCTTGTACTCTAAGAATTCCCTCCAACCTCAATGATT